AGTTTGTATCCTGCAGAAATTATGCATGCCTGATGAGTGTTTTGTGCTTCCCCTCAGTGCTTAGATCATTTGGCTGATCCATCTTCTGTTGTGAAGCGGTGCCAGTGAGGAGAGGTCTGTAAAGGCATTTTGCATTAGTGAAGTGCAGCGTACTAATGCGTTCTCCTCAGCCAACCTTGCGCCTTGCATTTTTGTTTTAAAATGCAAAACCACATGTAATATTGCATGCATGAATTGCTTTCCACTCCCTAGAGCTTCAGCTTTGCTCTTAGTTTGTTCTTGAACTTTTAATAATAGTGAAAATAAAGGGAGGGTCTGTTTGTATTGTTTATAGTAGGAAAGAACAGTGCAAGATTTCATCAACTGCTGTTCAAATCCCTTGCTATTTTTGGTATTTGACCTCTGCAGAGAAGATTGCCAAACCTACAGGTTGTTTTCATTTTTATTACATGTTTGTACCCTCCTACCCATAAGTTACTCTTACGTACTGATTAAATCTTTGAGACAAAGTTCCATTTCTCCCACATTTTCCACGGTATTTGTCAGAGGGGTAATTTTATGTTTCTATATGTTGTTGAGCTAACATTCCCATTTGGAAATGAGAACTGTGCAATTTGGGAGCATCTTGTGTACACAACTAAAAGAAGGAGGAAATTGCTGGTTGATTTTTTTTGAAAAACTTTTGGTATTAAAGAAGACTCATGAGCCTGTTGGCTGGAGTTGAGACTGCGATCTTCAGAATACTGCACAAAGAGCACAGCAGTATATGTTGAGGCAATATTAAATGTTTAGTTTGTGCTGGTAGGTGCTTACCTTTCATTTCTCTGTCATTGGAAAGGCCTGCTTTGGGCACCTCTGACTGTTTGCTTCTAGTCTTGCTGTATGGTTGTTTCCACACTCCACCACTGAGAAATAGGTAACAAAGGCCTCTGAAAATCCTGTCCTTCCTCTTTGGTATCCCTTCCGCTTCATGCCTTCTGTTCTAAAAATTAAGCTTATTCCTTTTTTAAACGTGCTTTGTAGGATGCCCTGAAGGTCAAAACATTTTAGGTTATTTCAGAGTACCATATTTATTCTGAGTTCCCAAGATGTAATGAGTTTTGAGGGTCCTTCAAGAGGCTTTTTGTTTTTGGTAGTTGTGATATCAAGGAGATGTGCAGGGGTTGCATATAACTGTGAAGTTAATTCGTAAGAAAGATCACATGGATGTAGTTCCGGAGGACTAGACAGAATAACACAGAAGTTTCAGGGTTAGTTTGCAGAAGGTGGCTTTGCCTTCTTCAAGGGGTGCAGATGTGAATGCAGATGAGAGATGCAGCTGTTAGTGATCACCATTCCTTGTATCTGAGGATGGGATGGGACTTCTGTTTCAAACACAAGTGACTGGCCATAGCCAGACACCTCCAGCCAGATACTCACGTGTCATCCAAGTGTTGTTGTTTTCCTGGTGCCTTGACAGCACCTGGATTTTGTCAGTGTTGAGACTGTAGATCCAGACCGTGGACCACTGTGAGTTGGAATAAGTGAAGAGCCTGATTTTAATTAACTGCCTCACGTTCTGAGCAAGGGAGGTACCTTGGGAAGAGAAGAGGTTTTGGCCAGTGCTATCTCTGCCATTTCTTGAGACTGGGACAGTTCAAGAGCAAGCTGTCTGTCTTCTACGAAGTCTTTTGTGTCAGATAGTTTGTCCCATTAGCTTGAGTAGTTTTCCTTATTGATCATAGCAACTGGCTGTTGTGCTGTATCTAAATTGTGTCAGATTTCAAAGATACTGAGTTGCCAAAGGATTCTTGGTGACCATAACAAAACAGATACCTGTGGTGTCAAAGGAGTGCTAAACTAGAAGTGCTTCACTTCTGCAGTGCAGAGCACCATGTACTTTGTAGGTGGCTGCAGTCCAATGCTTAGTTATCTTCTATTGTGTTTGGAAGACCATTGTTTCCTATTTGTCTCATAAATTTAACACAGATCCTATTCCTGCCATTTAAACTTTCCCATCAAAATACAACAGTGACTTCCCCTTCTGAAAAGGAAGGGCTGGCAGCTACACCCTGAAGTTTGAGCATGAATTGTTTATATAACCTTCAATCACAATTTCATTATAGTCTGAAGACTTTCTTATGAGGGCAGACATTTTACTGAGATTTTTAGCAAAAACCTGTCTGCCATCAAATGCAGTATTAAGGCTTGTTAGTTGTTGCAGTGGAAATAGAATTGAAAACTATACCCTCCAGCTTCCTGATGATATAAATTACACATCTATCTGGAAACATGAGCAGCAATTTCTGGTATTTCAGAATAGCTGTACCCATGTCATTCGGGGGTAAAAGCTTAAGAGCTATTTTGGGCTAATTTTGTTTCCCAGAAAATATTATTACATCTGAATGAACATGCTTTTGCAGACTCTGGCTTTTTACAACTTTTGGGTACTTGTAGAGTTCCCTTGCCCTCCCCTCCCCAGCAGTAAAAGCTCTGATGTGAGTGTTGTAGAAACTGCTCATTGAGTAATATTCTCTATCAAAGCCAGTAATATTTAAACAACTGCAGCTTGCTTTCCAAATGGATGATATTTGTCAGGAACATGTCTGTTTGAGTTTACTTGGCCTTTTGAGTATAAAAAGTCTGAATATTTAGAGCTTGAAATTCAGGTCAGTCTGGAAAACTACATTTTTCCTACAAAAAGTTTACAGAGAACCAAATTTTTTTAGTAACCATAGCACTACAGGGTGGCTCGTTTATGAAAACCCCTTTCTCCACCTGCAAGCATGTGTTTTTGAAACAGTGCTTAAATAGAAGCTTCTATTCTAATTCTTCAGTAAATTGGATTAAGTAAAAGTTGTCCTTGTTAATAATATTAAAATATTTTATTTCTTTAAATTTAAATTATAAATTTGCATGGAAGTTTAATAGTTCTGTGTTTGAGCAGTATAGCAAGCAGTGTTTGAGAATGGTCCACTTTATGTAATAGTTTTAGTAAAAGTTTGTTCTGCTTGAGGACATACCCAGAAAAGTAAGTAAGGAGCAAGCAAGCTCTGCGGGTAGCATTGTGCACAGCTACTGCCAGAAAACATGTTGAACAACTTCTCTTCAGAGAGGAAAGGAGTTTCCACAGGATGTCTGCGTTTTATGGCAAAAATTACTTGTAGATGTGCTCTGAAAGGTTGCTTTGATGTAGAAGATTAACCTGGGGACCTCATTGTCAGGATATTACTGAGGCAAATAGCTTAGTGAGATTATTTGTGACTTGGGAATTAAGCTTTTATGAGTGTGCCTACTTAAGTTGTTTTTTAAGAATTTGCTCGTTTGCCACATGGCCTCATGAATATTTGTATGTACCAAATAGGAGGAGGGAAAGCAAAACCCTGAAACTACAAACACCAGCAAGGAGGAAAAAAAAGCAGAATGTGGTTTTGTCATAGCAACTTTTCCTTTGTTGCTGGTCTCTCATGGTCCGTTAAACATGAATGTATTGTTCAAGTAATACATGGAAGCTTGCTTATTCCATCCCTAAAAATCCATCCTGAAGAATCTGCAGAAAAATTTATGATGGGACAACTGGAAAGGCATGAGAATATTTTCTTGCGTTCTGGGTCTGCCCGATTTGTACTCCATTTCTGTTTGGATTTTTTTCCAAAATCCGTCCTTTCATGCCTGTGGTAACTAGGATTGGGTGCTGGCTTAGTCCTTAAGGAGATTTTTGAGTACTGCTTTGCCCTTATTTGCATTACCTGAAATATCTGTACCAAGTGAGAAGTCACTGGAGTGTTGACCCCCTAGAACCTGCTCTGACTCCCTCAATGTTTGGTTTTAACATAGAAGAGTAGTCTAATGGAATGTGTACTTTTAGCAGAAGTCATTCGTGTGGATGGTTATACTTGCTTAACATACCCTTTCTTTTCAAAATGGTTGTAGTTTGTGAACTCACTAAAACCACATATTCGTTATGATGGCAAATATCTCCCTCAAATTTAAATGCTTCAGTACTTTTTCTGACTCTAAATTGATGAAAGCCTTTACTGCAATTACAGAATTGCATTTTCCTTTGTGTTATAGAAAGGAGAACTTTTTTTTTAGTGCACACTGTTTTTTAGAAGTGAATCTATGTATAAGAGGACTGAGAGAATATTGTTTAATTTTGGTTTTGCTTGTTAAAATCTGAATTTATGTACATCACTGAAATAGTGTGGGTTGCTAGGAGGGTTCGGTAGTGCCAGAGAAGAATTGCCTCTGAAGGGAAGATTTTTATCAGTTGCACTAAGTGCCAGCGTTATGTGGTTTTATAGGAGGCTCAGAAAACATTTAGGTTCTTAGGAGAATTGATGAAAAGAACCAGCGTGCTTAATTCCAGTGAATTCCACTGATGTCATGTAGCCTGTTTAGGTGGTCTGTGGTATGCTGACAGGTGTTTACGTGCGTCATTGGGCACCTAAATACTTGTAAAATTTCTCTCATCTAGCCACTTCAGGCTGTGGTTCTATGTAATCTTGGTCTTGTTCTCTGCCTACCCCTACCCTTTGCGAGTCTGCCGGCAGAAAAGTTCACCTAAGATGTCTCCTGCAGTTGTACTGATGGGACTATTTGTGGGCTGTGCCTCCTAGCAACTTTTTAGAACAAAAATTATTCCTCCTCAGGTAGTGGTTATGACTTAATTTTCTTTCCACTTGTGGAGAACATCACTTTGCTATTTACTTTATAAAAATAATAAAGCAAATTTAGCTAATTGACTTTCACAGGCAGACTATTTAATCTTTTAAGGGGATTATATGGTGTCGTGCTTATAGTCCCAAGAGACTGAACTCCTTAACTTGGGGAACCCTTTTCAGTTCTCTGTTTCAATAAATGAAGTTGTAGTTTGTAGGACATCAGGATAAGTTAATTTTGACTTCATGCATTATCTCTGTGTGAGATGTTCTTTCATACCTATTTTTAAAGCTGATATTATTTAAGAATGTTACAGTTAAAATTCACGTTGGTTTTTATTCATTACAGGTTTCTGACAACGTTAGGAACAGCATTTGAGATGACTGCAGTGGAGAAGATTGAGGAGCAGCTTGCTAGTCTGCGCATAGCAAAACGTTCTACACTAAGCGAGGAACCTGCTTACTTACTGGATATAGACGTTTCCAAACCTGCTCAATCTGCAAGCAGTCGCTTTGTGGCAGTTTCGTGTTCCAATAAGTCAATTAGGGTATATAACAGGGAAACATTAAACTTCCTGCGGGAGTACAGTAGCCATCCTGGGATACTTAATGGAGTCAGATTTGCACACGCATGTGACAGCATAGTGTTCTCAGCATGCAGTGATGGTACAGTAAAATGTTGGGATATTCGTTTAGCGACTCAGAAAGCTGTACAGATATTCAGTGGCTATCCTTCCAATGTTTTCATCAGTTTTGATATCAACTGCAGTGATCTCATAATTTGTGCTGGAACAGAAAAATTTGAAAAGGACACATTTCTGGTGTTCTGGGATGCAAGAGGCATTACAAACTGTGGCAGTGCAACTAAAGAACCCTTGGGAGTCTATTCTGAAAGTCACAATGATGATATCACTAGAATTTGTTTTCATCCTATCGAATCCAGTTTGCTGGTTTCTGGGTCAACTGATGGGTTGGTTAATGTGTTCGACATTAACAAGGATAATGAAGATGATGCTTTGATATCAACTTGTAATTCAGATTCATCGGTAAGTTTTATTGGGTGGTCTGGGAAAGATCATAAACAGGTCTACTGCATGACACACGATGAGGGGTTTTGTTGGTGGGACATTGCTCAGTTAGATACCGAAGAACCAATAACACTATTGCATGTTCTGGATGTCAGAGATGCAGTCTCCATTGAAAATGACACCTTGCATTACCTGGTAGGTGGCTTGTACCACGAAAAAGCAGACAAACTCTTCCTTATTGGGGGAACATCCACAGGAAACATTCACCTAATAAGCTGTGGCACCGATGGACTGAGCCTGGTGGGAACCCTTTGCGGAGGACACTCTGCCACTGTTCGCTCCTTCTGCTGGGACCTGGCCGAGGAGGCCCTGGTGACGGGTGGAGAGGATGCTCAGCTGTTGCTATGGAAACCCAGAGCTGTGGAAAGGTCCCTCACAAAGAAAGCATCTATGAAGATTGCTTCTTCGGTGCAGAAGAGAGTAAGGGTTCACAACAGTTCCCTCAAAAGCAGGAAAAAGTAAAATTCTGAAAGGGGGAATCTGTACCGTGTAGAGTTTTCCTGTGTGTTTAATCTTTCAGGCAATACTTGGCTGTGCTTTGTATGTGCTATGCTGTGGAAGGAGGTACAATGCCTGAGTTCTACCTGGGAAGGTATTTCAGTCATCAGATTAATGCCTTTTTTTTTAAAGTTGCTAATATTAATTAGCAAAGAGTAAATCTTTGCTCTTGAGTTCTTGAACAATAGTTCTTAAATCATATTATATAAAAATGTTTCTGTGGCTGTTTAATGTCTCAGCCAACACTTTTAATGTTTAATTTTTTAATATAGGCCTGTGGCTTGCATAATTTGTTACCTTCCCACTAAAATTCCTTGGCATGTTTTAAAAGCTTTTGTATTTCATGCTGTATTTTGCTTTCTTTACAGAGAACTTAATGAAATTGCTCAATATATTAAAAAGATTTTATGTCACATCTTAATGCCTGAGGGAATTACTTCTTGATGAAAGAGAAAATAAGTGCTGTTTTGCTCTGTCATATCACTGGTTTGTAACAAGCTCATAAAGAAGCAGTTGATAGAGCCGTATTTTTCGTAGCAAAGATAGGAATGTATTCAAGCAGACAGGAACACGTTCCAAGCAGCTAATTTTTAAGCGTTTGAGAACTGTTAAACTGGCATTATTTAGGGCATATTTCCTGCATGAAAATACCCAAGAATCTTGCAAGCAGCTTCATTCTCTCCTGGTAAGTTCATCTCAGGGGGGTGCACCTGGAAGACAGGCGAGATGGTCAGTGGCTGAAAGAATTTGATAGGTATAATTACACCAGTGGTGCTTAAAATCCCAAATCCTGCATTTGAAATTAGCTGTTATCACATGCTAAGTGGGAATGTTACAAACCAAAAATGAACATTGCCTTCTGAGACGCTAGTTCTGGAGTAACAGACTGGTATGAGGAAACTTTAAGAAAACCTTATAGAGGTTAGTGTGTGTCCTTTAAGAACTGTTTCTTGCTGCAGAGAAGTTTTTACACTTGGACATCTCCCTGGGACAGCTTTGTTTTTGTATTCCATCAACTACCTGTTAAGCAGTGCAAAAATTGTCATGTACTTCTGAAGCGGTTGAGTCTTTGTGCTTACTCAGCACTACTGTCAGGCTACAATCTGTGCAGCTGGCCCTGCACACGCAATTACCTTCAGCCTTCCGAGGACTGTTGCAGTCAAATGGTGGTTGGTAATTACGCCGTGGTTCACATATGTGAGGTACAACTGAAAACAGCACAAGAGTATTTAAGAATTGCTATGTTATAGAAGAGTTGGCAAAGGAATTCAGAGGGGTTGGTTTTATTTTTTTGCCTGAGGGTGGATAGGTAATTTACATTCAAAACACGTTTTGAAAGAAGTGGAGGGGTTAGCCTGGAGTTCAGAAATGGTTTCTGAGGCACAGATACCTCTAGTATGTGCTTACAGCTGTGCCGAAGAGGTCTTAATCGTCTCTGGAAATGATTCCTATTCAACCAGAAGTATCAAGTTTCCACATGATATGTTTTACAAACTGGTAATGTCTTTCAGCCACAACTATGCATCCATAGTTGCTTTGGGTCTGCCTGTTGGTGATAATTAAGATGAGTCACTTGCTTTTGTTACTGCTGGTTAGTTAAAAGCGCAGCTTCAATTTAAAAATCACATTTCCCTAAACTTTTTCTTTTATTACTTGTGTTAAATTCAAGTTAGGCCCAACATCCTTATCTGTTGCTTTTCAAATTACTTTGTGCTATTTTGAGACAACTTGGGCAATGAGTGTCAAGGCTATGATGCGCCTGGACCATGTGACCTTTCAAGATTTATTCTCCCAGGTCACTAGCTATTGCCTGTTCCTGTGGAATTCACTGTTTTGTAACAGAGTGGACCAAAAACTTCAGAACCCTCTGAATTCACCATAATGCCCTCATGTGCCTGACTTGGTTTAGTACCAGTAGTTGGGTATGGGGAATGACAGGATGATTCTGAGACTTACTTAATCAGAAGTATGATATGTAACTTGCTTTTTAGGTGTTTATCCACTCCTTTCCTGGTATCTTGACACACTCAGTGAAGTGAAGTCATTGGGTCTGTCTGATGCTTGATTTCTTGAACAGTTTTGTGTGCTGTGGACAGAAATGCATGGTGAGGGAGCTTCTGGTTGTGTCCACTTGCTTTCAAGTGTCTGTAGAGTGAGATTCTGATGTGTTCTGCCAACTTCCTCTGAAGTAAAGCGGCAGATATGGGAGTTCTGGTACTGAAGTGTTAGAAGCATGCAACCTGTATCTGTTGTCTTGTTTCTGAATTAGGTTGATACATAACAAATCGATATCCATCGCAGTCAAAGCCATGCTTTTTCGCTGAAAAGCTGGTTTCTCTCTTTTACAAACATCATTTAGACGGTAATGGGAGGGGTGAAAATGTATGTATGTATCTTAAAATTCTGCAAAAGCACAGCAGTCAAGAGATTCAGGCTTGTGTTGCCTCTGAAAATATTTGATTTTTTTGTTGTTGTTGTTGACTTAATTTCAGGTTAATAGCCATAAAATAAACATAGATGGAAACCACATGTTAACAAGTAATTAGCATTGCTTGCTTTTGTAAACTGCAAACACTGTTTCATAGACCACAGAGCACAGGCAGAATATGTATACAATCATAAAAATAATAGACTTGAAATTAGGCAGGTTGACTTGTCTGACTGTGTTTAATCTCTTAGAGGTTAGTTTTGATGTCTGTAAGCTGGCTTCAGCATTGTTAAGAAACATATTTGACCTTTATAAAACTTATGTAATTGAAAGTATGTGCAAGTAGCAGGCATTCAGAAATCATCACTGTGCGAATTGTTTAACCCCAGGGGAAGCTTTAATTCCGGAAGCAGTATCAGATTTTTTCCAGTAAATGAAAAGCAAAAATCCAGATAGACTGCCTAAGTGCAGAAAACAGTGTCCATCTTTATTCAGAGATGATAGTAAACTCGTCGTACGGTATTTCTGAGCAGCAGGAGATTATCCTGCTGTGAACACATGAAAATAAACTGACTTGCATTTGGCATGTTCCTAAATGTCCTCTTTGTTTCTTCTTCTTTTCTCTTTAAGTAAAATCCAACACTTGCATGCTTGCTGCATTGTGTTTAAGGTGTGCTCCCACTGAATACAAGCTTGCTGCCTCTTCCTGAGGTACCGTTTTACTATTTCATTTTGTTCAAGTAAGAGATGTATCAGCATTACATCCTGTAGTTGGTGGCATTTGGTTTGGGTTGGAAGGGACCTTTAAAGGTCATCAAGTCCAACCCCCCTGCCATGAGCAGGGACAGCTTCAACTAGAGCAGGTTGCTCAGAGCCCCGTCCAACCTGACCTGGGATGTTTCCAGGGATGGGGCATCTACCACCTCTCTGGGCAACCTGGCCCAGTGTTTCACCACCCTCATTGTGAAAAATTTCTTCCTTGTATCTAGTCTAAATCTACCCTCATGTAGTGGAGGGTAGATTTCAGTAGAGTGTAGCATTTTACCCACACCTTGGGACTGCGGTGGAAATTATTTGACAAATCTAAATAAAGGTGTGACTTAATTTCTGGGTGGAATTTAGTTAGCCAGTTGTCAGTCATAAGCTATTTTGTGGCTAAATTTTATATGGCATTATGTCCTATGTATTCAAATGGACATAACTGTATCTCTCGTCCTTAAAATTTTAATTAGCAAAGATGCTGATACAGTAAAACATTGTAAAGACATAAAGTGCAAGATTTATACTATGTTTTTGAATGACAGCTTTCTCTTGGCCAGCCATCTTAGGTAGCCCTGTAGGTCATACTATTACATGAAGCAATATATTTTGTCATGTGGAGTGCTGACTCGGAAATAGGCTTTTACAATGTCAGAAGCCGGGTACCCACACACTCCGTAGCTGCATCTTGTGTTTCCTTGTAGGGCACCCTGCCTGTCGGGATGGAGCCCGGCCCACGTATTACAGGGTTTGGTATGGCTGCAGCTAACTGCAGTGTCAGTTATTCAGCAAAGCTTTTGTCCTGAAAGAACTGACGCTTTTGGCCTATCTCACAAAGCTCATCCGCATTTGTTAATTTGGAATTACTTCTCTCCATCCCATTGAAATGGCCTTATTTGGCTTCTTGGTCTTTTTTTGGGGGTAGTAGAGTTGTCTCTTGATACCTGCTTTTCTGGAGGGGGATGAGTCCCGTCTCTTTCCCCCGTGAGGTCTCCTGTCCTGTGCACAGGCTGCTGGACTCTGCACTTCGTATTACACCAAGTGGGCGGTGGGAAGCAGAGGGAGGGAGGAAAAAGGGGAGGGTGGCCCCTGACAGCCCTCTGACAGGGAGGCACCTCCACTAAGGAGTTGGACCCTCTACCTTTGAAATAAGTGTAATGGCTTACTTTCGAGGTTGATGGAAGCAGGATAGGACCTTAAATAAATTATGCAAGACGTAAACACCCTTCAAGCATAAAAGCCAGTTCCTGTTTTTCTGCGAGATGAACGATTTGGCAGCGAAGCGTTGCAAGGGCGGCACAAGGTGTTTGCTCACGGGGGCTGAGTGTTCTTAACTTCTGCTAGCGGTGCAGAGAGCCGCTGATTGGGCCAGTACCGCAACCTCTACCCTGCAGGAAGCAGTGCATTTGGGGATTTCAAATGCCATGGGAAAAAAGGAAGGCAGAGGTGAGCATGGGGATGACAGCTAAAGGTAGCAATTCAGTCTGTGAACTTACAGCTCTCTGTAACGTGGTTGTACAGTGCTCCATTCCTTGGTTCTAAGAATTATTTGCAGATAACCTAACAGCCAGTTGTGAGCATCTTTGGTATCTTCTTGCTTTCTGTTTCTTTTATCTATACTGGTTTGTAAACTGGCACAGGTATGTTGGCTAATGGGAGTGGAGTGGGGTTGACTTCAGTTACCGCCACTGGCTGCTGGTCTGTCCTACTTGGATTTCAGCACATGCATTTCTTCAAGCCTTGCGTCCTCATGCCTTTAGATACTTTGAAATCTGTA